TATAGTATATCCATTATAGATAAATAATTTCATCAAAATATTTATTACAGATCTGTTGTTAGTGAATCGCAACTGGTATCGAGAATCAAACATAATTGTACATAATTACAGCAAATATTATTGTATCCTAAGTCTTCGCCTATAGAGTCATAATTGTTTATCTCAATTGATAATAAATACCCAAGGAAAAGATATTGTTCTCTAAATGGATATAGATTTAATTAAGAGCTGTTCTGAATAAAATTCAATTTACAGAAATAAAAGCTACAGCTTTTATTATCTATTTTATTCTTTTAATTTTGACATATTAAAATGGTTAGTACTATATTCTATATAAATATAGATTAGTTATAGGAATATTGAAGTTCCTAGCCTACAGAGAAGAATGAATTTTTGCAGTCTTCGTATGAAATGATTCAGTATATGTTTGGTTCTCGATTGAATTAAGGTATCCTTAGGAAATTATAGAACTTTACTAAACGATTAATAACATAATCAATCTTTATGAATCGAGAGGAAGACCGTATGCTGAAAAGAAAAATATTTGGAAACGTTTAAATTCAGCGCTTTATATATATATATATATATATATATAGCTAGGTTCATAAGGATTTTTAATTAGAGAGGTCCTTGCCATTCATTGTTTCATGCAAAATTTTAATATAATTTTACCTTGAAATTTGTTAAACTAATTGGAGATATTGAATTTTGTAACTTCTTCGATATTCTCCTACATAATATCTTGACAATTATTGATAAAGTTTTATGTAATGATTGTTCGACCTTTCGACTTGAATCATATCAATGTTCTATAAGAAATTTTATTGGAAAGAATTTCTTTACTATGCAACTTAAAATATCATTGCGCTATATTTAATTACATTGTAATAAAAAGATATATTTCTACAAGTAACATACAGCAGACATAATTTAGAATATAAAATAAACCGTATGTAGAAAAACTACAAGTACGTTCCATGCCGACCAAGTACAGATTTTGGGAAACAGACAGTATCAATGCTGCCACTAATGGGCTACTCGAATTCTGATTGTGCCCTGAAACAGAAATAATGTTTTTTTTTAATAATAAAATACATCTTGCAACAGGATGTTTAATCTGATAATGTTTTTACATCCTAATAAAAAATTAAATATTTTATTGCATTTTTGATACCGCACCTTTTGAAAATAGTGTTCAGTATATTTGCACTCTGTACAAAACGTTGTTCATTCTTGTGAGCTTGTTGATACCATTTCTTGCGTACAGCATTCCAATGTGTTCTATGCTCTCTTAACAATGTTTCCCGAGATTTCAGACACTGTCCATCCTGGAACATATATAAATATATATTTATTATGATTATATATTTATTATAATTTTGCTCCCTCTCCCATGTTAAGAGAATGAATTATGTAAATTTATCTGCGCATCTTACATAATCCAAATTTAACTCTTCTTTTTCTCTAAAAATAGGTGAAGGTATACGATTCCTTGGTATTGCTTCCTCACAAGGCAATGGAGGAGGTAAATAATAAACATCACGAACATCTCCATTCGTGTCTAGTATATTATTACTCATATTAACTTCATTAACTATCTCTGGGCTTGGGCTACGTACTCTAAAAAGGGATGTCATTTAAAAGTTTTCTATATTTTAGCATAGACAATTACTCAAAACTTTGTTTTCATTTACTAACTTTGGAACAAGATTAGGATTCCGTGGTTGATTAGCCATCCAAGCTCTACATATAGGATAAAGAGGTGTGTCCTCTTGAAATTGTGCCAAATCAACACTCCGATCAAATAATTTCATTACGTAAGTGTGGTGGAATGATGTATCCAATGGTACTTGTCTTCTGCGTCTAACTTTGCGTGGTTGTTGAAAGCCTATTGTCTTTGTCCTGTATATGTCAATGGTACGAGTTAGATACATATTACGCTGATTACTAAGATTAGTTGATAATATGTAAATAATGTTACATTTTCTTCATTTGATGTTTATAATCTTGTGCGGAACTTTCTTCACTAGAATCTCCTGATGATCCTGTATCACTATGTTGCAATAACTCTCTGAGAGCTCCTTTTAAACGATCTCTGGCAACTAATACGTCATTATCTCCTGGGAAAAAATGATTATAAATTCATGTTATTTATACAGTTAACAAAAAATCTACGAAAGTGTTTTTTGTTATGATTTAAAAATAATGAACAATTTTTATTAAACTGTATAATAAGGTATGAATAATTAATGCTACTTTTTTATTACCCAATTCATCCTTAATTTCTACTTTCACACGGCCAGGAATTGGAGCAGCTGGTGGTGCAATATTTCTTTTCTTTCCCATCTATGACAAAAAATAATTAACCATTATTGAGATTCTTTTTTGTTTACATCAGTCTAGCACAAACATACCTTGTACAAACAAGTCTATATCATCTACAAGTCAAACAATAGTAATTACTTTTTCTTCAAATTCATATGTTATATAGAAATATTCTCACAAGGAAACACAGTGAATGATTATTTAATATACATACATCTAAAAACAAATCTTGTGTTGCTACAAACTGAAGTGCACGAGGTTATGAGATAAAATAAGACTTAATTGTACAATAGTCTAATAATAATAAAAATAACGCTATTTTCAATTTTGTTCTCGTTTTACGCTTAATTTTTTGTTTTTATAAAAGTTAAATGCTACTTATTTAAATAATAAAACGAGCATTACGGATAAACGCGAGTCAAACATTTTCGAAGAATTTCATGCAAGAATAATTCAACAGCACGCGCCGATCGTTGCCACAGCGTATGTATGTACATGTAATCATTATGAAGATACCGACAGAGCTTAACCATTGGATCATTTAATCTTTAAAGATTGTTATTGGTGTATTTTAATTTCAATGTCCTTTTAAATTGGTATTCAATGTCATTTCTTGATATAGTTCGATGTTGAAGGAATTCACTGCTCTTGGCATAGGACAAGGTTAAATTAAAAATTATAAAAAGGGATTCCAGTAAGGTAAGTTGTACATATTAGACTTATTGTTTACCTGTGATAATTTTAAATCGATTATAAGCTTTGGATATGTTTCAGACAAATACTTATAACAGGATGCAGAAGACAATTATACAAATATTTTTAATACTTTACATACTCGTATCAATTTCCTTTGCGCACCATTGCTTTTTATATGGTGGAGATTATAGATGCAAGTTGGCAACAAGAACGCCATATAGATTTATTGCTAACTATGATGATTCTATTCTTGAATATTCAGGTAAATAAAATAATATATTCAAATATATTTTATATACATAGAAAGTAAGTATAATGCTAGTTCTTTTGTAAATAAAATTCTATTATTTTC